AAAGAGATTAAATATAAAATAATATTTATATAATAAAAAGAACTAATCAAAATAATATATAAAAATAATTAAATTATTCTATATTTTTATACCAGATTGTGATATTTTCTTTTCTTTTTTTTTTTTGGATCGTTGGTCTCCGTATCTACTTCAAATAATAGAGATATATTCAAATTATTAACCATAATAAATATAAAAATATAATTTTAAATATAAATTAATATAGAAATTAATTGGGGAACAAATAATACAAATAAATTATACAAAAATATATTTATTAGTCTCTTATAATACAAATATAATGACATTTATGGAGTAAATTATACAAATATAAAGATATTTTTACTATTTAGTATAATGACGTAAAAGACAAATATTGTCCTTCTGATGAGACGGAGGTAGTATTATATTATTAATAATTATTAATTTATTATTAATATTAATATTATTTTTATTTTAATAGAAATTTAAGTAATACTACATTTTTAGTGATACGGTATTTAAGAAAATATAGTTCAATACGTTAATAATAGTATGATATGATATTATTTTATTATTATTTTTTTTATGTGAGGAGTGGTTTCGTTATTTTTAAAATAAAAATTACTTTAAAAATAAATAAATATGATTAAAAAAAATTAATGTATGAATTTAAATATTTTAAACATTATTTTTTTAATAAAATATATATAATATAGATATCATTTTGTAAATAATTAAATACAAATTATTTTTATTTATTTATATTGACATGAACTAATTTTATAAAAAAAAAATAATATGTTTTAAATATAGATAAAAATATTTATTTATTGGAGAGAGATAGATAAAAATATGGGTAAACTGTTTTTTTAATCCTGACCCCTTATCATTTTAGTCCCGTAAATGGAGCCTGTCGCAAACTAGTTCCATAAGTGAAAAAATTTCGTTGTTTTAGTCCTCCGACGCCAGAGACGCCCGCGTGGCTTGCCGGAGGCTTCGTATCCATGTTAGCGACACCTGGTGGACACATGGATTTTATTATTTTTTTTCATTTTTTTAATTTTTTAAAATTGATTTTAAATTTTATTTGCCTTTATATTTTTTTTATTTAGTCCAATTGAAAAATAATTAAAAATAAAATAAAAATAAATCCATCCGCCTGTGTCGCTGACCTGGCGGGAAACCTGAAGGACACGTGGCTTCTGGCGAGCCACGCGGGCGTCTCCAGAGCCGGAGGACTAAAACAACGAAAATTTTTCACTTATGGGACTAGTTTGCGACAGGCTCCACTTACGGGACTAAAATAATAAAGGGGTCCAGTTACTGAACTAAAAAAACAGTTTATCCTAAAAATTTATATTTGTTAAATATGTTTAATATTGATAAGTTTATTAAAAAAATATAACATATCAATTATTATAAACAGACTAAAATAAAAATATATATATATCAACTTAGTACGTACTCCCTCCATCCCGGATAAATTGTCCGGATTACTGTAGGTACGAGAATTTAGGTAAAATATAGTAATTAGTAAGTAATTACGAAATGTATTCTTAAAATTATTATTGTATAATAAAAATAATTATAAATTAAAATTAAAATAACTAATAATTTTATTAAGATTAAAAAATTATAAATTATGAAATTTAAAATGTGATCAAAATGTATAATTATATTTTTAAAAATTGAACGGACAAATTATTTGAGACGAAAAAAAATAGAAAAGATGAACAATATATGTGGAACGTATATAGTATATAATAATACTAATTATAAATATATATTTATATAATATACATTTTATTTAATTTTCGGAAAAGAAGGTAGTTCCGGTTACCGAAGAACCGGTGGTTCCAACCTCCGGTCCAAAATAGATTGGGAAAGTATAATCTGACAATAAGAAAGAAAATAAATCATACAACCTATCAGAGGTATAGCTAAGCCTGCATAAGGTATGATTTGATTTGGCTTATGTATCTAAAAAATTCAATCTAATTTTTTTTCAAAACCTATTCAATTAATTAAAATAAACTTTAATTCTACAAAAAAGTCTTTTAGATCTACATGTCTATTTATATATATAACTTGATTTAATATATAAAAATATTACTATATTTAAAAAAATATTTAGTTGTGATAAAAACTGAATATTATAAGAAAAGTATATATGTAAATAGGAAATAAAATATTTTAAAATTTTATACATTTAATATAATAGTAAGAATTATAGTATATAACAAAATAAACTTGTTTAAATAGTTCGAATTAAAATTATCAATTTCTTTTTTTTTGAAAGGTCAAATTGAAATTAAACCTTTTACGATTTTAATTTGTATTTTATTTCGATTTCAGTTCCGTCGATTTAGTTTAAAAACTACGAATTTTAGTTTACACTGTTAGTTTATAATTATTTTTAAAAATTTTTTACTTTTAATTTCAATTAAGAAAACTGTAATTTTATTTTATTTAAAAATATATATTTTGTGTAAAAGGTTATATAAATAATAATAATAATAATAGTAATAATAATAATAATAATAATAATAATAATTAGATAGATTATCACAAGATAAGAATTAATTACGATAAATAATAATATAATAAATCTGATCAAATATAATATAACAAAAATTTATAAATTTAAAATTATTATTATTAAAATAGAAAATAGGAATAATAATAATAAATATATTTTTCAGAAGGAATGTATTTTTAATATTTTTGTTAAAATATTTGAATTATATATATATATATACAACTATATTTCATATATTTGAAATTATATAATACAATAAAAAAATATTTAATCCACAAATTATAAATTCTAATGAAATTCAGATAAATCAATAAATAATTCAATCAAATATTTCAAAAAAAATCATATAAATCAATAAACAAAATCAATTAAACTCTACATAAATTTTATAAAATTTGTAAATCCACTTACTTTTTAAAATCTAAACAAATCTATTAAAATCATAATAGAAATGAAGAATTGAATATACAAGCAAAAATAACATATACAAAGAGTGTGTTTCTTCAGTCCAGTTTTGGACTGAATTACTGTGCAATGAGTGGTTGGACAGACACATACAGTTTGTACCTTTTTTCTTTATTTTTTTTAATTATAAATATAAAATAAAATTAAAATTTAATAAAATATATATTTGAAAAAAAAAAATTTATAATAAAAAATAAAAAAATATATATAGATATAATATAAATTTAGAATTAAATTATATAAATTAATACACATATATTATTATATTTATAACCATCAAATCAATACACATCAAAATATTAATATATATATATATATACTTTTACCAAAAATATCATATACAAATTAGACACGGCTAGGATCATTAGTGTATAGGATCAGGTACGACTCAAAAATTTTCGAACCTATTTTTTGAGACCCTAATACAATTTTTTGTGCCATACTCAGATTGGGATTGAACTTCCAAACCTTTCTTATTTTTGAGTCTTAATTTTTATCACCTCTAGTCTTTAGGATAAATTCGTGTCCAACAAATTTCGGGTCTGGGTATAAAAATTCGGGTCGGGCCTTATGCGGTGGATATGGATAAGTTATATTCCAATAGAAGAGTGGATGAGAACAGTCGACAATCGTCCATCGGATTCAACATTCACCCAAGTTACGCGTTGAATTGTTGAAGAATAAGGAGGATGTTGCCTGATTTGGCACTGCCCATTGCGACCGGAGGCGTTCCGCAGCTGTCTTCCTCCAGTGTTCATTCTTCTGCTGTCGGTTTCAGGTAAACTCGGGAAATTTATGGTATGTTCGATTTTCCTGTCTTCGTAGTCTTTCTTACATTTAAATCGAGAATTTCGTTCGTTTTTGTTGTTTAGATTTTCCTTGGTCATTGGAAATGCATGATAATTGGTATTTTAGGGTTCCGTATATTATGATCAATGTGAGGTTGTTGTTATTAGTAGACAGTGTTAAAGATGGGAATAGTGTGCCTGTGTGCTGATGATGGCGGGTGGATTTGACTGAAGAATTTCATACTTCAAATGCCTAATGTATGATGGTTTTGAATTGGGGTAAAATGTTTTTTTTGAATTGTTAGAAGAACCAGATTGTTCAAATATTTGATATGTTCATGTTTGTATATATGAAGGACCTCATTGGATATGAGAAATGAGTTAAACTGAACAAGTATTTTGATTTGTTGAATAACTCAACAAGCAAACACAAGTACGTCGATGCAGCTTAATGAATTGAGTACCAAAAAGTGTGTTGCTATTTGTTTTTTATGCTAATTGTGGATAGGTTTTTCTTGGAATCATATATTAGCGAAAAAAGAGAAAATACTACTCCAATTAAATTTAAATCAAATAGTGTGGCTTTTATTTCTAAAAACAAAATGTTAATCCACCAAGTTCTTAGTCTTTGAAAGTTATAACTAACAACTTTGTCTTCAATGTGGACCTTAGTTGTCTTTGTAGGGCTTGGTCAAAACCATTGTTCATAAACTAGGGAACTGCTTGTTGTTCTGTTTGAGAATGACACAGGAACGCCTTGATTAAATTAGGGATCAACTCTTGTATTGTTTCCTTTACGATGAGGTCTCACTAATAGTATTTCTCTTTCCAACAAAGTTGTTTATTCTCTTGATGATATTGCTATAAACCATTTAACCATGCAATTAATATGAATATGTTCCATTTTGATCAATTTTTGCATTAATAGGTAACATTTAGTTTATAAAAATTTTGTATGCATCCATTACTTACTTTTATTCAAATATTTATTTTTCTAATTTTATTTTTAAAGATACCTATTGTGTTTTGGGGAAAAACTTAACCCCAATGCTAGCGGTCAAGTTCTAAGCAAGGGCCGAAGGAAGCTAACAATAGGCAATCATCCCGGGCAGAATCAATCCAAAAAAGTTTGTCTAGTACAAATTTCTCCACCCATAAGCTTTGTGTTGTTGTCAGTGACACAAATTTTTATGGGACAATTATTGGTTTGAATACTTTTCTAAAACTATCTATTTATCGTTTATTTTGGAATAGATAAAATGCAAGAAATGATATGTTCGATATTTTATTAATGTACACAACAATTTTTTGTTTGTAAAATGTCAACTTTAAAGTGTTAAGATATGCTGAAAATGGAACACATTGTATAATTGTTGTATACATAAATGGAGTCAACTAAATTTGTCAAGAGAAAAAATCATATTTGTCAATAAATAAATAAATAAAAACAATATTGAGTTATTGAAGCTTTAGTGGAAATGACAACTATAGTAAGTACTATACAAAATTACCCATCAACCATTTGGAATGCAACGTTCATAGCATCTAAAATTAGGCCTTAACTACTTTACCAAACCATTGAAAAATATTGAAGTATAAAAGTTAAGACAATCGTCATTTCATAGCATCTAAGAGTAAGCCTTTAAGTTCTCTACCAAATTTTCTTTGAAGCATCATTATCTAACAGTCCCAATAATTCTATCATTGATTGAAAACTTGACTCGTTAATGGTCTTTGAATATATAGTTAAAGCTCGAATAGGATCATGTTTCGAGCCTTGTTCAAATTAATGCCCAGTTCTTGAAGGTCACATTAAAATAGGGAAGTTTTCATTAAGGCAAAACTTGAAAGAGACGGCGGCTGTTAAATCCCAATAAAAGATTATAGCGACCCAAAATAATGCAAGAGATATCAACAAGATATCAACATCCTTTACAAGTAAACCAAGAATTATGGCAACATCTAAGAAGATCAGGCTCATGATGCCAAACGGTAGAATGAAAGTACTATTTTTAAAGTTTCAAAATCCCAAAAAAGTTTTGGCAACCTCACTATCACGGGGAATGGGTTTACAGCAGAGTGATAACATATCGTATATGCCCAGTCACGCAATTGCCAGCAACAAAGAAGGTTCTATTCTATGTACCCATGACTCAAAAATTAGAACTAGGCAGCCGAAGTAATCAAGATAGAAAGGCATTGAACCTAAAACAAGGTTACAAGGTTGAGAAAAGGGGAGCTTACTTGTGTCCAAAATACGACCAAAATTTGAACTCCGACATTCTTGTCATTTATCAGAAAGAGGATGATGCTTCGGCGGCGGCCCAGAAATGGGCTAACAGAGGAACGTGATAATGCACAAACATTTTTTCATCATCTGAATTCATCTCCATGGTAAACGAATTTCCAAATTTCTTCAAGAAAGCTGTTGAAGTTCAATGTGATCCAAAGATGGAATCAAATAACCCATTTGCATAATAATTCATATTTGTTTGATTTAAGTTAGTTCGTGCAGTTTTCTTGTTAATATTTGACTTATTATAGAGATTGTAGTGAATGGAGTTTCGACTTTGGAATGTGGTACAACTTTAGTCTATGATGACAAAGATGGTTTATATGAGTCAGTATAATTTTGTTTTGTATAGGTATTACATGAGTTAATATTTGCTAAATAGACTCAAGCTTGTTCATGAACATCTAGTTTATATTAGTTACACCTGAACATGTTCAAATTATTAACAAATGAGCGGATAAAAGTTGTTAACAAATTGAAATGAAAAGATTTGATGCAAGAAATTAATCAAATGTGGACTTGCCCAAGTAACTTAATGAGCTGAACTCAAACATGAGATACTCTACCTGCTTTGGTTTATTGTTTACTTTGTCGGCCAACACACACAAATTTATGATACTCAATTTAAGATTTGGCCATTGAGGGTCTTTTATTGATTACTAGAAGCCTATTAGTGGAATATTCTCATGACTTTATTATTGAAATAATGAATGCTTATCGTACATGGATTTCTTTCTTCATTCAAGGTGGAGATTGCGACGAGGTGACGATCGACGAATGACAAAGTACCAAGCAATTCGTGTCTTGGCAAATCCAAATGTATGCACCATTCAAGGATTCTCACGTGTAATGCAAATATATTGGTTTGATTATGCTCGGATGTGTTTAGGTATGTTATGAGTGATATGCTACCAAGTCGCAGTTACGGTACATGATTAGGGTTTATAAACACATTTAATTCAAAACCATCGACAATATTCACTGTAATATATATAATGTGTGAAACATTATTTATTGGATAAACTTGTCACATGACAATCATTTGGAACTATCCCACACAAGTTCATAAACTTGCTGTACCTGTAGTGCATAAATCTTGTTGGTAGATTTTATTGTTGATTTGTTGTAAGTGATTCTCTTTGGCATTATTCACCAGGCTAATCAAATAGATTTTCGATTCTCATACTGCCAAATATCTATTTGTTATTCTGCTGGTTTCCTTTGCTTATTGGTTTATATTTATTACCTTTGTTTGGTTGTGGTTTGAAACTGATTCGAAATGGAATGTTGATTTAAGTTTTTGTTTAAATAGTATTTTTAACGTGGTGTCTTGTGAAAGGAATTTGTATATCTTTATTGGAAACGGTGCGGGCTAAGTAGTATTGATTTGTGTTTTAACTCATAAACAAACAAATCCAGCTGTCTGTATAGTAGTGTTCGTAAGATACATGTTTTTGTGGGAAAATAGAAAGTTTGCTACCAATCTGAAGGTTCGCTGCCCCTTCTATAAGAAATGGTGTGCACACACACACATTCATAAATATACATAGCAGCCACATATAAGGATTATTTGGTCATATTTTAGATTTCATGAATATTTACAAAGTGATGGACTAACCACATAATAGCATTACTTTCAACTGAAGTGGATGAAATTGATTCATAGTTGTCAGTATGATACATTTAAATTTTAGGTCCCCCGACGAGAAGGTGCAAATTAATTTGACCTTTCTAAATGCGCTATTCCCTTCACTAGTAAAATCATCTTCTTTTCCTGTCTGTTTTACAGACGTCTCCGAATAAAGGAAGTTCAAGCAAAGAAGTGATTATGGTGGATCCTTTAGAAGCCAAGAGATTAGCTGCAAAACAGATGGAACGGGTCCAAGCAAAAGAGAAATTAAAAGTAAGTGAAATTTTAATTTGGAAATTTGTGGTCTATGGATAATCAAAAGTTTGGTTTAGGATTCAGATATGAATATACTCCCATGATCTACACGTCAAGATCATAAATAGAGTTACGTCTCATGCACCATACTTGCTGACAGTTTAGTTAATAATCACCACTCCAGAAACAGCGTCGAATTGAAGCAATCAACGGGGCGTGGGCCATGATTGGTCTTACAGCAGGATTGGTCATCGAAGGTCACACTGGAAAGAACATTGTGGCTCAGGTAAAATGCCTATAATAAATGAGTACCATAGTTTTTGTTCGAGTTTCATGAGGATGAGTGAAGAAAATGAAGTAAACTCTTTGTTGATTGCGGACTGCGGAGCATGCTAAGAAAATTTTTAGATATCGAAAATATGAAGCAACACTTCAGCTAGAGCCAGTAAGAGTAGGCCATTAACAGTTTTGTAAACATACCCTTAGAGTGTGTTTACTTTAGGTGATGGAAAATATTATTTTATCCAATCTAATTACATTAAATCCTGCTATACTGATATACTAATTAAAGATAATTAATTCTAACTAAATTGATAGGATTAATTTATCTATGTAATATATATACTGAAATTTATGTTATCCTATATTTAATAGTAAACATCATATTAATTAATCTAATGATTATATAATTTATTGAAATAATCTTAGGAATTATAATACTATCCTTCAAAGTAAACACACTCTTAATATATTCTATCATATCAATCATCACTTTATTTATGTCAATGGTTTGATCACAGGCTGCTACATGTGTGGATGATAATTTATCTAATATTTTTAGGAAAAGATTATTTAGGTCCCTCCAGCATAGTGGTTTAAGAGTTTAATCCTTCTGAAAACAAAATTATCTCAGCTATGTTCATAGCCTTTTCTCTAATACTCAAAGAATGTTCTATTACAATACACAGAATCCGTTTGGGTTTTATATTTTCTTGTATTTTACTTGTAACATTTGTTGTTGTGCAGTTGTCTGGATACTGGGATGCTTTTATCGGCTTCTTTTTCAGATAGGCAACGGAAAATGCTGGTACGTAACCTGATGGCTTTACTTAGACATGAATTTATACTTCATCTGCAGTGAAGTTCACAAATAGAAGTCAAAACGTATGATTAATTCATGCTTGTGGAATTACAGAAATATGTTTATAAATCATTTGTTCTCGCTAGCAAGTTGGTCCTCAATTAGAGCTTGAGCCCCTTTGACAAGTCGCTCCACGACTTGGCCTGCGGGTATTATCTCATTGATGAGGCCGATACCCTGCCCTCCATACATGACCATGCTCTCGATGTCTCCTGTGGTCGTCTTGTTGGGCACTGTCCCAGCAAAGCGTCGTATCTCCTTTTCCTACCATAGATAAAAACACAGACTGTTTTAGGTCATTTCCATTCGAATGAATCAAATAAATAGGAGGTGAGTTTTGGAGTTTTGAAAAAAAATTCAAAAAAATAGTATAGTAGTACTCTCTCTCCGTCCGGTTCTAAGGGTCATTGAATTAACATTAAAAATATTATTATATTTGTATAATTTTTTCTACAAATGTTCTTCTATTAGTATCTGATTGAAGTATTTTTGCAATTTTTCTCAATTCATATTACGTCTTAATATAATAATTAATATTCAAATATCAACACACAAAAAATAAATGAAACCCTCGGAGATATGATGTTTTATTTGCTCACCACTCCATGGATGATGGAATGACCGATCACCGGCTGATCGCTCTCGTCCACATCTCTGGAGAGGCTTCTCCACTCCTTGAAGAAGGGAGTTCTCAAGACGCGATGGGGTGCACCTGGCCACCTCGCGCGTCCAAATACATCTGTGTACTCGGTTTCGTCTAGCTCGATCAGTTTCCTCTTGTAGATGGGGTGAGCAAAGCTCTCCTCCGTTGCTAGGAACCTTGTGCCCAAAGCTACGCCTTGGGCGCCTAGGGCTAGTGCTGCCACATAGCCACGCTCGTCAACTATTCCCCCGGCCGCAATTACTGGAATATTGCAATTGCGGCTGCGGACGAGATCCACCACTCTTGGCAATAGTGTCATTAGTCCAACCTGACCGATGACATGGCCCCCGGCTTCGACTCCTTGGACCATTATCGCGTCGACCCCCACATCAATGGCTTTTTCTGCTTCATCCAAACTTCCAACCTGACCGATTTCTTTTTTGATTAAATTTTAGGATACAAGAACTTTTCAAGAGGTCACCCGTTCTGGTATTTTTCTCGTCCAAACACATCACAGCTATTTTTTTCAAGAAAAAAAAAAAAAAAAAACACATGTAGTGGTTATAAATTGAATCAAAGTGAATACAATAGTATTTGATTCTATTTGTAAAATTATTTGACTATTTGATTTGTGTTGAATTGTAAATGATGTTCGTATTCGATTCAAATTTATTTTAATATTATTTGATTGGAGTATTCCATTTGAATTTTTAAAATATAATTTTAATAATATTATTCAGATTTTTAATTCAAACTATGTTCGTTTGCATCTTATTCTTCGATTCAAAATTTTATAGTTAAAATTTTTTAGAAAAATACAGAGTGATTATAAAAAAACACACATAATGCGTCTACTATTTTTACCAATGTGGCACAAAATTACTTTCTTCCTCTAACGAATGTAAAACATCATATAGTATAGTTATTGTTTAATTATAGTATTAGATATTAATTTATATAAAATTTAAAAAGGTATTTTTAATTTTGCAAAAAATACAATATTTTATAGTATTATTATTATTATGATCAAATTAAATATTAAAATTTTATATTTATCTTTAATTAATATTCGAATAAAATATCGAAGTATCTAGATCAAATTCATAGCATAAAATTCCAAAATAATCTAATAGCACAAAATCCAACGAAATGAGGAGATAGTACCTGAGAGAGAAGCCTAACGCCGGCTCGATGAGCAGCGGTGAGGAGACGTTGGGAGCATTGGCCCCAATAAACTTGCAAGACTGCAACTTTCTCGTCGAGTATGGCCTCGATGTTGGCTTCGTGAGGGAAGGCCAGAACCACACCCACTCCGAACGCCTTATCCGTCAGTTCCCGAGTCTTCCTTATTAGCTGCCTCACATAATCCGGCGCCTCCCAGTCAGGGGCTCTCAGGAACCCCAGCCCGCCGGCGTTCGCCACGGCGGCCACCAGCTCCGGCCCCGAAATATCCGGGCCCAACGGCGCCTGCACTATTCCGTACTCAAATCCCAGTATCCCTCTCCACCCCGCCATTATTTATCACCAAATTATATTAGTGAATTTAAGAAATGGGTCTTCTCGATCTTCTTCTGAGGGGTTGAAGAAGATGAAGACGGTTTTGTTCTTCCCCACGTCTCTCTCTCTCTCTCCAATTATAAAAGTAAATGTTTTTAAAGGGTTGGATTGACGGGTGGCGATGACGAGCGCAACGACGTAGTATTTTCAAGGGAGTGTTGGACTCAAACTTTTCTTCTCGCAATTAGAGCTATTAACGATTGGATTTGGTTTGATTAAAGCTTGTTCACAATGTTGTTTAACGAATGAGTTCGAATTTTATTCGCCAACGTTTGGTTTATATAATATATTTATTATAAATATTATATATATATACATATAAAATTAAATATTAATCTAAAAAATATATAAATAAAACAATTTTAATTTTTTTAATTTATATATAAATTTAAAAAGTGAGACGAACAAGCTCAACAAGCTTAATCGAGCTTAATACGAACGCGAGTTCAAACAACAAAAATTATTAATGAGCCGAGCTCAAACACTATGAACGAGTTCGAAAGCTTAACGAACGAACATAGGCCTTGTTCGCGAATGTTAACGAACACTTAAAATTTGGCTCAACTTGGCTCGACTCATTAACAAATCTATTTGCGATTAGGTCAGTCAATGGGGTCGGATGATATGATCGGTCCGGTTCTTGAATTTTCAAATTAGAATTTTATTTCTCAAGATCCGAAATCGATTCGTACGAAACTTCTAATGTCATATTTACTTTTTGTTGGTATTGATTTTATAGGAACTCTTAAAAGCCGATGGAGGAAGTATAAAAATATTGAGCGGATCCAATATCATCGGATCTAATTCAGTTTAGATCCAATTCAATACAAATTAGATTCAGGTTTTGACCAATACATACAATTTATCAAAATTTTATAAATTCAGTATTTTGATACTTTCTCCGTCTATATAATTTGTCTTTATTTTTTATTATAATTCGTCTCATATAATTTGTTGTTTTTTCTTAAATATAATTATATATTTTAATCGCATTTTAATGTTAAAATTTATAATTTTTTTTAATGTTAACAAAACTATTTAATTATTTAATCTTAATTTATAATTACTTTTACTATATAATAATTATTTATACTAATACATTTTTTAATTATATACTAATTATATTTTAACTAAATTTTTGTATCTACAATAATATACTCAAATTACATAGGACGGAAGGAGTATAATTAACAATATTTCAATTCAAGTATAAAAAATAATCTAATTAACAATAACATTATAATACTCTTTTTATCCCATTAGAGTTGACTCATTTTGACTTTAATATGATAAGAAATTTAATTAGTTAATAATATTGAATTAAAAAATTATTTTTCATTTTTTTTGTGAGTATTATTATTGTAATTTTACATAATATATATAATTAAAATAAATATAAAATATGTGTTTAAAAATTTTAAATATTATATCTCAATTAAATGTATATAATGTTGATATAATTTTATAGAGGATAAAATTTTAAATAACACAAATAAATAAAAAAGAATATTTATTTATTTATAATTAAGATAAATTAATTCTATAAAAAATGGAAAAGTTTTACATATAGGTAAAAGTATTTGTTTATTGAGGAGAAATAGAAAGTTTTGAGTGAGTTGTATGATGTTACACGTATTATGATTTAATTAAATTGATTTATATTTTTTTAAGTATATTTAAATTCAGTAAATTTTACCAAAAATAAAAACACGCTCCTCCAAGTGGAACAAATAAAAAAGGAAACTGAGAGGATTAAAATCAAACTGAGTACTAAATAGACAAATTAAACCATCTAACGTTATATACAAAACTTATATAAATTTATTAATAAATAATAATATATAGTACTTTGTCCATTCAATTTTTTCCTTTTTTTATAGTAAAATTAGGTTCCACATAAAAAATACTTTATGTTATTATCATATTATTATTTTTATATAAAAAAATAAAGATAAAATTGTCTTTACATACATCATTTTACTATATCTCAATAAAATAATAATATATTTAAATTCATATACCAAAAATAAATAAGAAGATTAGGTCACATGCAACAAAGATACCATTTAAAATATCTCTACACTTTTACATCATATTATCTTTCCTCCACATCATATTCTCTTTTTTTCAATTCAAAAAAATATATATATTTATGTTTATATTAAAATTAATTATTTTTAAAATAAAAAAATTAAAAATATATATCAATATAAATAATGTAAAGAATAAAGTTTTATATAATAAAATATATAAATATAAATATTATAAAAAATTAATAAAACAAAAAATAAAAATCTTATTTGTATCTTTGCATAGATACCCATCACATTTTTGTTTAAAAAAAAATTAAATTGCTGACCAGTCAACTGACCTCTGTATATATAAACATTGGGATCTAAATTATAAATACAAATCCGATATCCATATAAAATTTCAAAAATCCAAATCTAAAAAAAAAAAAAATACAAAATAAGGATTGGATCTTATGCGAACAAATCCAATTGATAGGCCTATTCATATGAGAGTATTTTATTTTTAATGTAATTTTAATTTATTATACATACAATTATTCTTTGTATTAGAAACAAATTGTGTGTATATATATGGCAAAATAACATAAAATTCTCATGTGGTTTTACAAAATCGCTGAAAACCCCTTCTTCTAAAATCTCAAAAAAACTTACTTGTGATTTCAAAATTGTTGCAGGAAAACCCCAATTCGTTAGGACTTAACGGAGAGTGTATCTCACGCGCTTCACAAGCGACTTGTTGTTTAGAAACTGATATATTTCACTGTGAAGTTACTAAAATACCCTCAGACTTTAATATATGTATTATTCTCTCGTTCACCTTGTTTATTTCACCCTATCTTCTTCTTACCCAAAATTCCAACCCTCGCAGTCACCGATTGAAGTCCCACGCCGCATCTACTCTGTCGGGGCCAGAGCTAGGATTCCACAAACTTTGGGTATCTCCAATTTCAACAGTAGTTGATTTTATTTTGTCGAGCTTTTGTAAATTGGTGTTTATTTTTTCTGAAATTTCTTTCTAAAATCATGTTTGATTTTCTCAAATCGGGTTTGGGTTTTCTTCAGTGAGATTGCAATATTGTTGTGGATCTAGTATGAATATTGAAATCTTTTCGTGAATCGGATTCTCGTATAGGCGTGTGTCTTCAGCGATGTTGCAATTTTCTCCAATCTCTATGTGTGCCGATCTGATATGCGAATTAGAGTTCTTTTTTTTTTTTTTTTTGGTAATTGGTTTTGGTAATTCATTTGGAAACTCAAAATCCCATTTGTACGTAATTGGTTTCGGCAATACTGTAATTTTTTTAGAATCAATTTTGTGGGTGATTGGTTTTAGTATTTCAGCTAAAAAATAAACTCCTGTAATTTTTTGCACTGGACTACTTAAATCGGACTGGATCTTGTTTAGGATCTAATTCCAATCTTAAATTTGTAATTTTTGCGGCACTTTGCATCGAAAAGGAGTGAAGTATACACGACTGACAAATGGTTTATTTGGAAGGAACTGCTTTGATATGTTTGTGTCTTTTTAGAATCATTTTTATATCTACCATTGAATTTTATCAGAGATGTCATGTAGCGGCTCCAAATCGAAGCCTAGGGGGCGAGGAAATGTTGATCTAAGGTATCAATGTCCACGATGCAAGTGCGGGACTGCTGCGGCAATCCGTATTGTCGGTCCAACGAAGGAAACACAAGGAAAGTTATTCTGCAATTGCCGCCTTGGAGCCTGTGATTTTTTTCGTTGGCTTGATCTGGTGAGCACTCACATTGGGGAGTGGAGCAACGATGGTGATGAAGTGGGCGAGCCGGAGGTTCAATCTGCAGCACTTGATAGGGAGCAACTAAAACAAATAAAGATGGTTGTGGATGAAACGTCTCAACTGAAAGTGGTTGTGGGAGAACTAGGCCATGAAATAAAAGCCTTGCGAGCTACACTAAGGTACATCAAGGTTGTTATGATTGGTGCCATGTTGCTTAGCATACCGAAAGTTTTGTTTTAAATAGTTGGTATGCGTTCGACGGTTCATCTCCTCTCGTCTTGTGTTCTTTTAAATATTGGCAAGAGTGCTGTTTAGTATTAGAAGTGTTGTACTAGTAGTAATGCAGACACTGAAATACAGTTTTCAGATTTGTAAAACCACACTGGAATGCAGTTTCAGATTTGGAAAACAATTATTCGTAATGCTCCATATAAACTGCCCATTCGTGTAAACTGGAATGTCTCACCTTGCCTTGTTTGTTTTGTTTGTAGGTTTGGTTTATTCAGATGGATGTTCATTGTTTTGGTTTAGGTATGAGTAGTGTATGGTTCATTTCACATAATTGATCATCGAATAGATGCAAAAACTATATATGATGGTGTTTTAGAATATTTTAGAGAGCAATGAGACAAAATAAAAAGAGTATGAAATTTATTGGTTGTCATGTGGAACAAACAATATAACCACAGAGGCCAAATATGCATTAAGCCGGCATAGAACGTAGTGTTTACATGATAGTTCAGTTATCCTATCCAACAAACAACATAACCACACAATATCCCGATGACCCTAAACACAAAACGATCGCAAGGATAATAGCGCTTGACGTGTCTACATAATCCAATACCATACCACCAAAGTACATAATATGAAAGTACTAAATACCAAATACCAACATAATATGAAAATAGTCCGGAACTAGTAGGCATCTATCCAACAAACAACATAACCACACAAATACCAACATCTCGCCCTCACGAAAGACCACTTGAAGATCCACCCGTCGAGGGTGGTCTACGCCCTCCCAGCCTAAGTGAAAACCTAACGCTTCGGAGCAACGAGGATAATGTATGACGTCGAGCCCCTGTACTTATTTCTGTTGTCCCCGATGGACCCTACAAATGATTATACTTAAAAATGGAATTTTTGGAACAAAAATTCGAACACGTATATCTATTTTTCATAAATTAATAAAAAAAAAGGGTGCCGCTCACGTACCGATTGAACCTGAGATGTCTGCGTCGCTGGTGTGGACTCCGACGCGGGATGGACGTTGGAGGCCGCCTAACAAGTAAATCGGAACAACCAAAAAAAAATAAAATGAGTTTCAGAACAAATATAT